CAGTTGGCATGTCGAGTCCGCCCTCCCGGACTTCGTATCATTGCTGACGAATCTCTCCCAACTCCGCGTCGACCATCTGGCATACCATCACGACGAAGTCTCAGTTGTGCAGCCAGCGTGGACAGCTGACGTCCGCCAGCATGTTCCGAAACCTGACGTACGGATGTGACGAGTCTGCGATAATCACACGCCCTGTCCGACTGCCCAGAGCTGAGCAGGCTGCGCATTACTATAGAGCCGGCCATCTCGAGCCTTCTGAGTCCCCTACCCCCAAACACGCGGATTGTACAAGCGCCGAGGTCAACCCTCAGATCTCTCACCAAGCTCGACATCAGACCAATGAGAGAGTGCACCTCCCTGTATCAAGAGCTCGCAACCATGTCAGCCCTGAACTCGCTCACCGTACGGTTCAGCCAGCCAGCATCTCGCCCGCAATCCTCACGTACCTGTCGAGAATGACGCAGCTGCAGGAGCTCCGCCTGATTGGAACGTCTCGCGGTGGACGGATGGGGCTCTGGAGCCGTGGGACGTTCCCCCCCAACAACGCTTCGGATGCGATCAGAGAGGGATGAGCCAACTCAAGACGTTCCAACTCAGCCTCCCCGGCGTCTACTCCCTCACGCCCGGCCAGGGAAGCCGCCAGCACATGTTGGAGTCGATTGCACGCAACAACCAAGAGATAGAGGAGCTGGTTCTCGACGCGAGCCTGCGGCTGCCAGCAGCATCTTCTTCCTGGCGGCCCCCACCACCAAACTCGACACGCCACGACACCGGGAAATCAATGAAGATAACCCTCCACTCCATCAGCATTCCAAGGGAAGGAGAGCCGGGCCGGTCGATGAGGGCGTAGCGGAGGTCGTCAAGCAGCTCCACACTATATTCCCAAAGCTGCGGTCCCTGTTCACCTCCGCGGACGAAATGGAAACACTGTGCGAACCGTAACGGTCCGTTGCGAGGGTCGGGTGGGTTAATCAGCCATCTTCGTCGCTTGCGGTCTAGGCGGTCTCCCGAATTGCGCATATGGACCTGCTGTTCTCAAAGACCGACCGATCTCAGTCGAATCGAAACCGTCCCGCAATGGAACGCAGGCATCCACGTTGCATCAGATCCCTTGTCGGATCGTCCGCCCGGCCGCCCGCCCGCCCTGTGACGAGCGAGAGAACATACCCGCAATCGAGGGGAGTATTCGTGTCCGAAGAGGAGAAGGAGCGACCGCAGTTCGCGACGTAGGCACTAGGTAGGGAGGGCTTGGGGCACGTCTAGGGAAGTGGAGGATCAGGGCATCGCCTGCATATGGGCAAGGGTATCATAGCGGCCCAACCGAACTTCATAACACCTAATAAGCCTTGGACCTGTACATCTCAATCCACGGCGATGTGCGCAAGATTTCATTCACTCATCGTGACAAGTAGGTAAACGCCTGTGCTATCAAGTCGAACCGAAAGGCCTGTTTAAATTTGAAGGCCTTGACAGCTAAGCCAGCCAGCCTACGAATACAAGCGACCGATATAGGTACACCAGCCAGCAAAGGAGCTCTGAGGAAATCGGCTGCTCTACCTCATCTGACGCGCGGTATAGACAGCACCAAACAGCCAGAAGAAGGCCCCAGCCCCTGGGAGCGGAAGAGAGGAGAGGAGAGGAGAGGAGGGGGCTATCAAAGCCAAAGCCGGCTATTAGAAGTGCTCATTCGACTTGGCCCATGACCGCACCCCTTACCATCTCAACGACTGCATACCAACTTTGCAATAGCTAACACCACTAGCCCAGGCCAGACAAGAAAATGGCTTGAGATCAGAATGGAGAGTTAAGGTAGCCTTATAAGAGCAGATGGGGCGATCACCCGGGGCGTAGGCTCAAACCAGCAACCCTAAGCATAGCGCACACACACCACACCCTTCTTCCAAGGGATGTCTTCCAAAGCCTCTCAGCAGCACCCGCCACGCCTTCTTTATAGAGGTTGGTTCTTTGATATGACACTGCCAGCTGTCTATTCTCAGAGCCGAAGGGGGCGGGAGGCTCGGCAAATCGCTATTCGGAGAAAGTCATGCGGTTTTTCGCCGCAGCTAACCAGACGCCAATTAACAGCCTGGAAGAAGCATCCTTGCCGGACCGCGAATCGCAAGTCTCTCATTAGAGACACCTAGAGGCGTCTTGACCAAGGCATTGATCTAAGGTATCTAGCGTTTAACCTAACACCGCTGGGATCTGAACAATACCTTAGTAATGGACCTCAACTTTCATAAGCGAGGCTTTCTACAGCATGACGTTGGACTAGGACGTGCGTATTACTCAATGCCCTATAGTAGGATGGAACCCTTTATTTTCCTTATACCTTTTTTGCTTTTTTCTCTCTTTCTTTTTCTCATCTTTTGGGTTTTCTTTCTTTTTTTTTTTTTTTTTTTTTTTTTTCTTTTTTTTTCTTTTTTCTTTCTTTTTTTCTTTTGGTTTGTTCCCCCCCCCGATATCTTCCTCCTACTGTAATCATCCTTCTTTGGAGTTCTTTCTTGTAGCTGCTGATATAGTCCTTACGACACCGTCCGGTTAGGCAGGTACATGATACTCGATTTGCAGTTTTCCTGCGTTCTTCACAGACCGAGCCTGATTCTAAATGCTTGCTTAACAGATTAAACCCCCCAACCCCTATCATCATTGTGAAGGATCCTGGGCGAAGCAGCTCATAACTCTAAAGACCACTAGTAGTGATTTCTAAAAACCAGATACTCTAAACCTGGCTCTGTAGATATGGTCCGGCCTCCCTGGCTAGGACGTCAGTTACATATAACCATGAGATGTGCCTAGCCTAGACGTCCATGTCGCATTTCAAGGTAGCGTCGAGCCCCGCGGCCGCCCCTTGCCCATAGCTTAACAGCCATGGAGTATGTTATATGGTCCTCTCGTCCCTTGAAGAGCCTCAGAGCCTTAGATCCTCACTTGTGGAAATTCAACTAACGACGTAGAGATAGCTAACCTGAGCCGGGCGCGGGTTAGGCAGTTAGGGTCATCATGGTTAGGTCGTTCGGGTTATGGTATATGTCCCTATCGTCTTAAAGATTGTGGCTACCAACTAAGCGGTGTAGGGTCAAGTATACAACCCTATGATCACTATTTACACATGTTGCTGATTTCTCTCAGCTTAAGTCTAGGTAATCCTCGGCCCAGACGAGGAATCCCGCATTGGGTTGATGCTTATATAAGCATGCATTGCATGTAATCATCGCTCGAGTCCCATCTCGCTCATGCCCACCCTCACAGCACGCTGCAGTACCTAGATATGCACTCTTTTTTTTTTCACACTTTGGTTTGTGTGAGGTACCTGTTAACATAAGGTACAACTAGTTAGTGTAGGAAATCATAAGGCCTGTATCCAAGGTAGCTGCTGCCTGTAGGTACGCATTCTGTGTGCACGTTCTAATGAGGGCGCGCAACAGGGGCGAGTGAGACCAGCCTGCCGGCTGTTAGCCTGGGCAGCCTAGACGAGCTCGCCCGATCGTCAATAGAACACCAGGCTTCACACCAAGCAGACCAGTCCATATAACGGGGAAGCCGAATAATCATTCAGGATCTCCCGCCAGTAAGATTCAAGGAGTCTGCCGAACAAGCACGCAGGTCTTTTATAACCTAATCTAAAAGCAGGTATCATGCCTTTTCTGTACTCAGCCGGCCGGATACTGTAGTGGACGAACACCCTCCATGCCAGTCGCAGCTGAAACAATGCAGGAGAGTCACCAGGTGCTGCATGGCTCAGTGGTATAATGTATCTAGCCTCACAGAGAGCTAGCTCCCTCCGCCACCTGGTGGGTATACAAGAGCACCTGCAGCAGCACATGTGTGTTTTCCAGCTCGTAGGCGACGAATTAATCCATAAAGGGTGATATCTATAAAGCAAAGTAGTTAACCCCGGCGCCCCTCCTTGTTCGCCGCGGCTGCTGCGACCCTATCTCCAAGCCGCCCATATGCCAAATGTGTAAGCCATAGATAAAAAAGTATACAAGCCGGGAGCACGACAGCTCGCCTTCTGGAATCAAAAGCAGCCGCCCCACACAACCAACGCCATTCCCGCCGCCCCCTCCCGGAACCTCGCACTCCTCTCCTCGGCGGCCTCGGGCGGCTCCTTGTACCATGGTGCTAGGTCCTGCACCTTTATTAACCCCTCTAAGCTTCGGAACAGGCCGAGAACCCTCCGCCTCCTCCTGCGGTCCCTCAGAAACGCTTCTGTCACTGATCTATCGCTTTCAACGAGGAAAACCCCCGCAGCCCTTTCAACCATGTTCGTGCAGATGTCTTCGCCGTCGGGGCGGTGGCGCTTAGCCCCGACCCGCAAGACGAAGTCTCGCGACAGCTTCGCTTCGTAGTGCGTGTGTAGGGCCATCGTCTGTCGCGTGACAATGTGCCACGAGTGCGCGATGGCCTCTTGCATAAGCCTATCGTCCGCATGCCCTCTCGAGAACACGTCAAAAGACGAGGTGTAGTCGTTAAAGTAGGCCTGGTGCTCAGCGTCGCCCCAAATCCTGTTCGTGGCTTTGGCGTCCAGCCAAGCCGTCTGCCTTGCCTGGAGGAGCCCAATAAAGACCTCCTTGAGCAGGATGAGCATCGCCCGATTAAGCAGCCTGTCAGACAGAATGATTGCCTCCGCTACCGAGGACAGTGTCATGCGCGAGGCGATAGACATCAGGCCCTGCCCGCTTGGCTTCCCGTTAGCCCATGCGGCAAAATACCAGTGGTGGACGAAGGACAAGTAGGCATATACGCACTCAGGCCGGACGTCGTCGTCGTCGCTAAAGTCTACAGACCTGTCGAAGCCCTCCCTGTAGAATCCCATTATGCAGCCTTGAAAGTACGACGAACACTCGACGATGATGTCGCGGTGGACGAGGAACGTTGTAGAGTGGCACCGTATTATGATTAGCTGCGTTGTGTCCCTGTAGGAAATGTTAGCGAAACCGCCCAGCCTGCTGCTACACCTTAGCCTACTCCCATGCTGATGAGGAGGCGGCGTTCCCGATACGTAGTCTCTAACCTGCTCTTCTGGGCTGCCGCGCCCTTTGCGAAGTCGTATAGTAGCCGCACCATATCGCCTTAGGGGAACAGCACAACAGAATAGGTGTGCGTGCGTGTATGTGGTGTGTGTGTGTGAAGAGAGAGAGAGAGAGAGAGATGGCCTAGGTGACGGCCGGCGGTAAGGTACCTAAGGTATGTTGAGGTTGTATAGTGTAAGGTGCCTTAGCGGTCGCTTGATGTGGTGGTGTTTAGTGTTACTGAGGTGGACAGTGCAGTTGGGTGGGAATAAGCGGCTCTGACCACCTGCGGGCTGGTGGAAGGTGGGCTTTGGTGCATTAGAAGGAACCTAAGGGTCATGGGATTGCAGAAGATGAATGTGAAGTTGGGAGGGCGGGAAGGGTAATTGCGAGGAGGCGTCACCTTCCCGACGGGAGAGTTGCATCCACTGGCTCTAACCAACGCCGAGATAAAACCACAACTGCAAAGACGACGCCGGCGGGAAGGCCCATGGGATGACTTCCGTAACGAGAAGGAACGGCGGGGGACCTCCTGGAATCGGCAGCGCAGGCACTGCCCGGGCCGGCTAGTGTGCTTAGGTAGGTTTATGCAGATGGCAAGTGGTGAAAACCGCGGCTCGGTCGGGTGCGGGCCGGAAGGCGCAGGCAGCCCAGGTAGGTAGGTACGCGTGTAACCGGGTACCTCGGGGAAGGACCTCCTGGGGACGTAGCTTGTTAGCGTGTAAAGATGAACGAACACCTAGGAACACTCAAACCGCCGCTTAGAGGAGGGTATACTTACCACGGGGCAACACTATACATAGACAAAATAACGACACAACGTTGCAGTTGTCCT